TGGGGGGACCCTGATGTGGCACCAAATGAAATGAACAAAGCTCCACAGCCCACAGGCCCCCCACCTGCCCCATCCCCTGGACTCCCACAGGTAATTAGGGAGGATTTAGCAGAGACTGGGGTGGGGGTGGGGGAGACCAGGCAGCTGGTCAGGAACAGGTTCCAACCTCTGGATTTTCCCACCCCCATCTGTGTCAGGGCAAAGTGCAGCTTCCTGCTGCCAAATTGAGACAGGGCCCCTGGGCTGTTCCCAGGGGCTGTCATGGGGAAGAGGGGGCATGTGGACTGCTAAAGCTCTTGCCACAGGTCTGCTCCCCTTACTTTACCAGCTTGGGTTTCTGCCCCACCCGGGTTTCCCCTCTTGCTGAACTCTGGTCTCCCCCCTTCAGCCAGCGTTTCCCCCGGGGCAGACAGCACCGGTGGTGTTCAGTACGCCACAAGCGACACAAATGAACACGCCTTCTCAGCCCCGCCAGGTGAGGGGCTGTGGGGAGGGGAGTAGGGTGCCTGGGTGGGAGCCATGGAAACCTTAGGCCAGTTTGGGCCTCGCATGGAAACTGTGGAGACCCTGTATCTGCCCCAATTTCCTGATAGTTGCTCTGTGTTCTTTCATGTGTCTCTGCACTTTGTGCTGTTGATTACTTACGGTGGCTGGCCCCTTGGGGAGTATGTAGTCTGTGGGGTGGCATTAGTAGGGGTCCTGGTGCCTTGAGAATTGGGAGCAGTGCTTTGGGCCCCGCTGCCAACTCCTGTTTTCTTTCCTATTTCCTTCTTTTACTGGGAGGTTGTGGTTGCTCCATTTCCCTTCCCTTCTTTCTCTTTGGACTATGGCAAAGTAAACACTCCAGCTGGTTCTTGCCTTTCTCTGTTCCCTAAATTCTTTCTCACTAAGTGGCAGCATTCTTGTCCTACTTCCTTCATTTTTCCCCCTCATCACCTTGGAGATAATTCTCTTCTTTCCTGTCCCCATGTGCTCTCAGGGAGGATTCAGGTCTCTGCAGGTAATACCCCTTTGCTAATCCTGGACCCTCTCATAGTCTCACCATTATCCTCCGCCCTAGTCGAGGACTAGATACAGGGACTGGGGGTCTTCAGGGTGGGGACATGTTTGCTGTTAAGGTCCTCAGTCTGAGACTGACCGATGCATGTTAGAGGCTAAGTCTTGCAGAGTGCATATCTGGGAACTGGGAGACTGTTGCATGTTAGTGGTTAGTTTCTCAGTACCTTAGGGTGGAGCAATGCATGCTGGGGAGTATGTTGCCCAAAAGGGCTTCACTTAGGCATGATGCATCTGGGTGTTAGGAAGCCTCTGCAGAGGGTAGCCTGGTGGAAGTGACGTGAGTATGCACGGCAGTGAGGGAGTATATTCATGGAGTGCAAAGTGTATACCTGAATGTGGAGAGTATGTGTGAGTACAAGAGGCCACTTAATCATTAGTTGGTCAGGTGAGTTAGGATTGGTCCCTGTGCTCCAAAGCCCCCAGTATTTCTCTCCAGAGTAGAGACATTGTGGAGTGGCCATTTTGCTGTCCACTTCCTTCCTTTCCCAATGCCAACTGCCTTCCTCGCTCTTGACAGCACTTCTACCCTAGCCGGGCCCAGCCCCCGAGCAGTGCAGCCTCCCGAGTGCAGAGTGCAGCCCCCGCCCGCCCTGGCCCAGCTGCTCATGTCTACCCTGCTGGATCCCAAGTAATGATGATCCCTTCCCAGATTTCCTACTCAGCCTCCCAAGGGGCCTACTACATCCCTGGACAGGTGAGGTTGGAGGCTTGGGGACTGGAAGCCATGGAACCTTAAACCCGAACCCCCACCTCCCCTACCCTGACCCTCCAGTCCCATTTCTTTTCCAGAGGTGGGACTTCGTTTTGGTCATTGCCCATAGTTGACCTGTCCTGTCTTGCCCTACGTTCTCTTTGTAGTTTGATATGGTACTCATAGCTCCCTCAACTGCTCTCCCCTCCTCCCCCTTCCCCACCAGGGGCGTTCCACATATGTTGTCCCGACACAGCAGTATCCTGTACAGCCAGGAGCCCCAAGCTTCTATCCGGGTGCAAGCCCTACAGAGTTTGGAACTTATGGTAAGCAGGGGAAGGAGTCAGGTTGAGAGTGAGTCCCACGGAGCATCTAAACTCACCTATAAATTCCTAGACCCTTCCTAGGCTCATTCCTTGGTCTAAAAATGATAGGGTTAAGTAGGGATTGGTGCTTAATATGTAACTTGTTGGGTGAGGGGCAGGTAGTGTTTTATCCTATTGCTGAGAGTTAGGAGTCCTTCTCAGGTCAAAGAATATAGGGTCATGCACAAGTTTGAGGGCCTGTTAGTAAACATTTCCTGTGACACTTGTTCTGTGGTTGGTGGGAGCCCATGTAATGTGGATTTGAGAGGATTTTGTAGCTGTTTTTCACTTATACTCTAGGAAAGGATTAGTCTTTTTTATCGCAGTCGTTTCCAAAATTTTCTGATCATCTCAGGAAATATTTTGAGTGTGTACCTCTAATATGTGTGTTTTGTTTGTTTATACATATGCATCATTTAAACAAATAACATGTTGTTTGTCAAAAACAAACAAGTGGATATTATGGATGAGATTAAAGAATGCATCCCATTTTGGAGACCATTGCTTTAAGGAATTAATTTTTCCACTTCCTGGGCCTGGTTCATAATGTTACTCTTTGTTTCCTTGCCCCTTAGTAAAGGGCTGGAGATTGGAACTGGACTCAGGTTGAGTGGGACAGGGTTGGCAGATCTGTTTTTCTCATTCCCAGCCAAAGACCTGATTCTGTTTCAGGTTAAGTAGTTGCTGCTCCCTCAGAATACATGTGTGTGTGTGTTGCTGGGGGTTGGAGGCATACATTATATCTTATAGGGTAAAAGAGAAACAGAAGTTCCTGGTAGTGGTAGCTGGTGTGGAGGGGAAGGAGTGTGCGCCTATAAGGTGTGTGTGTCAGTGTCAGGAATTCTTGTAAACGCAGTTCAGACTGGTTCCCCAGCTTTGATAGACACCTAACTCCCTTGGGGAGGTGGGTGGGGCAGGGCGAGGGGCCGGCCGTGGGTGATGAGAGGTTCTGGGGATGGGAGGTGTTCAAGCAGGCATTTGTACATGGTTGGGCCCTGACACTGCCACCATTCTTCCTTTCTGTGTCCCTTCCATCCCCCTTCGCCCATCCCCCCTCCCAAGCTGGCGCCTACTACCCAGCCCAGGGTGTGCAGCAGTTTCCCACTGGTGTGGCCCCCGCCCCAGTTTTGATGAACCAGCCACCCCAGATTGCTCCCAAGAGGGAGCGGAAGACCGTGAGTAGCAGCAAGGGGCTCTGGGACATCTGGGAAAGGGAGAATCAAGGTCAGACATATTGTGGGTCAGGGAGCAGAAAGTTGAGGAAGGAGATCTTCAGCCGGGAGCGGTTAGAGAATGGGGATCTGAAATGCTCAGGTTCTCTGTAAAGTATAAGGTACTAAGACTTCAGTGTAGAAGCAGCTCATGGGAAGAACTGAAGTGGCTAGTGCAGGAGTTCCTGAGAGACCAAGGTTCTGGGGTCTATAAGATCTACGTTCGGTTTTGGGTTTCTGGTGGCTTGTCTTGGAAATGGTTTGTTTTCTGTGGCCCCACCCCCCACCTCCCAGTCCTGGAAGCTCTTGAGGCCTCCGCCTCTGCTCAATCCTCAAGCCCTGGGCGTGGTGCCCAGAATAGGGTGCCAGGGCTGGGGAAGCCGCTGAGTCACCCTGGCTCCACCCACTGGATCTGGGCCCTGCCCCCAGAGATCAGGCAGACTAGCCACAAGTGAGCCGGATGGGTGCTAGATGGGGGTCCTGGGCTCTAGGGTGTGCAGCCAATTGACTTGGGGACTGCTGGTGGGGTAGGGATGAGGGAGGGAGGGGCATTGTGATGTACGAGATTGCTCTGTGAGGTCAAGGGTCTCTTAGGGGTGGGGGCCAGGGCAGGGAATACAAGATGAGCTGGATGGGTTGACAGTAGAACTCATGGGGTTTCTGGCACTCACCCACCCGCTTCCCAGTGGGGAGTGGGGGGTTGGTGTGGAGTCTTAGGAGTGGGGCAGGGTGGAAAGGTGGGCTCCCCTTGCTTCCCACTCATCCCGGAGCTTTCTTTCCCCAGATCCGAATTCGAGATCCAAACCAAGGAGGGAAGGATATCACAGAGGAGATCATGTCTGGGGCCCGCACCGCCTCCACACCCACCCCTCCCCAGGTACTGTCTGCTCTTTGAGTGAGGCCCTGGCTACGATGGCTGTTCTGACCTGGACTCTCAAGTCCTTTGATCTTTTTTTCCAACTAAGGGATTTGTTTTCCTGTTTTCCTGGATTTTTGGCAGACTTAAAGTAGAAATGGCTCTAGTAGAGAAGGGTTGTGGGCCTCTTCAGGGCAAACTTGGTAACTCTTTGTGTCTTGCAGACGGGAGGCGGTCTGGAGCCTCAAGCTAATGGGGAGACACCCCAGGTTGCTGTTGTTGTCCGGCCAGGTAGGTAAGCAGGTGGGGCAGAGCTTTTATGGTGAAAAGGAGTGTGACAGTTTCAAATGCTGAGGAGGTGGAGTGACTTGACCTGGGTGCCAGGGAAGAATGACTTAGGGTTTAGGTAGTGGGATTTTGCGGGTGGATCAGATTTTAGGTGAGAAGGGAAAAGGCTTAGATAGGAGAAGATTGCGGGGGTGATTTAGGCCGGGAATGTCTTAGCTGGGAGGAGGAGGAACAACAGCACTGAAGACCTGCTTTTAATTACTTGTCTTTTTTGTGGTGCAGATGACCGGTCCCAGGGAGCAGTCATTGGGAGCCGGCCGGGGCTGCCTGGCCCAGAGCACAGCCCTTCAGAATCCCAGCCTTCGTCACCTTGTCCGACCCCATCACCACCCCCAATCTTGGAACCGGGGTCTGAGCCTAATCTTGCAGTCCTCTCCATTCCTGGGGACACTGTGACAACGGGGATGATCCAGATGTCTGTAGAAGAATCCACCCCCATGCCCCGTGAAACTAGGGAGCCATATTGCCTCTCTCCAGAACCCACTCCCCTCGCCGAACCCATACTGGAAGTAGAAGTGACACTTAGCAAACCGATTCCAGAATCTGAGTTCTCTTCCAGTCCTCTCCAGGTTCCCACCCCCCTTGCATCTCACAAAGTGGAAATTCTGCCTGAACCTAACGGCATGGTCTCATCTGAGGATCTGGAACCAGAGGTTGAGTCGAGCCCAGAGATTGCTCCTCTCCCTCCGCCAGCTTGTCCTTCTGAATCCCCTGTGCCCATTGCTCCAACTGCCCAACCTGAGGAACTGCTCAACGGAGCCCCCTCGCCACCAGCTGTGGACTTAAGCCCAGTCAGTGAGCCACAGGAGCAGGCCAAGGAGGTTACAGCATCAGTGGCTCCCCCCGCCGTCCTCTCTGCCACTCCAGCTATGGCTCCTCCAGCTGCTTCCCCCACCCAGGAGGAGGAAATGGAGGAAGAGGAAGAAGATGAAGAAGAAGGAGAAACAGGAGATGCTGAGGGTGAGAAAGGAGGAGAGGAACTTCTTCCCCAAGAGAGCACCCCTGTTGCAGCCCACCTGCCTCAGAATTTGGAGGCAGCAGCAGCCACCCAAGGTAAGGTGTGATGGGATGGTAGAAGTGGGGCGGACTGAAAGGTGTGTTTTTTTTTTTTCTCTTTATTGATGACCTCTCATTTGTGCCACTGTGTCTGGGTCATAGAAGCCTTGTCATGGACCCTAAGAGCTAAAATTCCGAGATTAAGGAATTTTAAGTCCACAGTGGGTATGTTGGAAAGAGGAAATACTATACAGTAGCTGCTTTTTATTTCCCCAATTATTCCCACTTTTGTTCCCCATAGAAGTTATTCCCACTTTTTTCCCCCCTAAATAAATAGTGGCAGTGTCTGTGCCAAAGAGGAGACGGAAAATTAAGGAGCTCAATAAGAAGGAGGCTGTAGGAGACCTTCTAGATGCCTTCAAGGAGGTAAGGGAGCAGAAAGTAATGGAGGGGAGAGGGCAGAGTGTGGGGTATGGAACAGTGATCATACTGTAACCAAAATGGGGTGTCCTGTGGTTACAGGTGAGCCCGGGAGTACCAGAGGTGGAAAATCAGCCTCCTGTAGGCACCAGCCCTGGTGTGGAGCCTGAGGGCAGCAGTGTGCCCCCCCGGCCTGAGGAAGCAGATGAGACCTGGGACTCAAAGGAAGACAAAATTCACAATGCTGAGAACATCCAGCCAGGGGAGCAGAAGTATGAGTATAAGTCAGGTATGCTGAGGGAAAAGTTGAGAAGGGTTGTATATTCTTGCCAGGCCCCCAGGAGACCAGTGTATATGATTGGTTCATCTTGTCTTCCTCGTAGATCAGTGGAAGCCTCTAAACCTTGAGGAGAAAAAGCGTTATGACCGTGAGTTCCTGCTTGGCTTTCAGTTCATCTTTGCCAGTATGCAGAAGCCAGAGGGATTGCCCCATATCAGCGATGTGGTGTTGGATAAGGTTGGTAGGCTTGAGGGGGAGGGTCAGTTTGGGCTGGCGGGCTTGCTGGGGGAGGTGCCTGAGGTCCTGAGAGAGTAGTCAAGAGCCGTAACTGTTTCTCATGCCTTCTGCATCCTCTTCACAGGCCAATAAAACACCACTACGGCCACTGGACCCCGCTAGACTTCAAGGCATAAATTGCGGCCCAGACTTCACTCCTTCCTTTGCCAACCTTGGCCGACCAGCCCTTAGCAACCGTGGGCCCCCAAGGGGTGGGCCAGGTGGGGAGCTGCCCCGAGGGCCGGTGAGTGGGACTGGCTAGAGGGACAGATGGTCAAGGGGGTTTGGGGGATGGCTCCCTTGTCTTGTTGAGAGATGGGGAGAAAACTGCCCTGGAGATGCGTGGTGGCAGTGTCACAGGTTGTGCTGATTGGCTCTGTGTCTTCACTTGTTCTTGCCCCTTGCTTAGCAGGCTGGTCTGGGACCCCGGCGCTCTCAGCAGGGCCCCCGAAAGGAACCACGCAAGATCATTGCCACGGTGTTAATGACTGAAGATATAAAGTTGAACAAAGCAGAGAAAGCCTGGAAACCCAGCAGCAAGCGGACAGCTGCTGATAAGGATCGAGGGGAAGAGGATGCTGATGGCAGCAAAACCCAGGTACTGACAAGTGCTGTTTTTGGTCTCCAATTTTTCTTTTCGGGGTCTGCCCTCTGAGTCAACTTTGCCCTCTCTGTTTCTGTTCTTTTGTTTGTTTGTTTGTTTAAATGCTTATCTGTCTTGAGAGAGAGAGGGAGAGTGCATGTGCATATGGGGAGGGGCAGAGAGAAAGGGAGACCGAGAGAATCCCAAGCAGGCTCCTCACGGAAAGTGGAGAGCTCGATGTGGAGCTCTGTCTCATGAACTGTGAGATCAGACCTGAGCTGAAATCAAGAGTCAGATGCCTAACTGACTGAGCCACCCAGCTGCTCCTGTTTCTGTCATTCTTATCACTAGTGTCTACCTGAGTCCCTACCACCCTCTACTGTTCCTGCCAGCGACCTCTGTTCTTCTGAGAACCTCACTGGATCCTGTGTCTTCTCTGTCCCCTCTGCCAGGACCTGTTCCGCAGGGTGCGCTCCATACTGAATAAGCTGACACCCCAGATGTTCCAGCAGTTGATGAAGCAGGTGACACAGCTGGCCATCGACACTGAGGAACGCCTCAAAGGGGTCATTGACCTCATCTTCGAGAAGGCCATTTCAGAGCCCAACTTCTCTGTGGCCTATGCCAACATGTGCCGCTGCCTCATGGCGGTTAGTTTCCACTGTTACTAAACCTTGTGGTCTAGTTCCCTACTTCTCTTCCTGAGACTCCTTGAGTCCAGCTTCTTGGTTCTCTTCCAGCCTGTGCCGTTGATGGCAGCCAGAAGGAGGCAGATTGGGGACCAGAGGTCTTCCTGGGTTAGGTAGTTAAAGACTCTTGGAGGGCCTTCCCACTTGGGACCAGTGTAAATGTGACATTCTCTTTGACATACAGCTGAAAGTGCCCACTACAGAAAAGCCAACAGTGACCGTGAACTTCCGAAAACTGTTGTTGAATCGATGTCAGAAGGAGTTTGAGAAAGACAAAGATGATGATGAGGTTTTTGAGAAGAAGCAAAAAGAAATGGATGAAGCTGCTACGGTGAGAGAAAACCCACCAACCCACTGTCCATCCGGTTGCTACTCTGCTATAGAATTGGGGGTGGGAATAAGGG